TGGCCATAAATAAAAAATAAGTTGTTTTGTTTATCAATAACAGATTCTAAAATCTTATGGTAAATAATTCGCTGTTCATTGTTTAAATTTTCTACTAATAAAGAATTTTTTATTTTTAATTTATTTATATCATAATTAAGTTCTTCTCTTAAAAGTTTATTATTTAAATCATTTGTCAGTGAACCAGTAGGTAGGGGTAGATTAAAATGAGCTAAAGTTGATGAATTTAGGTTTAATAATTTTTCTAGTTCATGCAATATAAAATTATATAATTCATTTTCTGGTATTTCAAAATATGGGTTGTTAAAAATTTTTTTAATTTTGTATAAGATATCATCAGTCATAAGTTTTCAGTTTTTTTCGAGTAATTTGAGTGGGTTATTTACATTACAAAATAATAGTATAATAATAAATAGATGTCGTAGCTGTGATGATGTAGACCAAAAAGATGCTTCTAATATCGATTGTTCCCATTCTCTATCATCTCCTAATAAACCTAATGCATAACATGCTGCCTGATATGTTTGATGTGTTATGTTATCGATACTTCGAAGATTTTCATAGCTTGTTATTCCTTTTCGATGGTTTAGTAATAATTTTAGATAATATAATTCTCCAGAGTTTGGATGAATATAATATGATCAGCCTATTGTATGTCCTATTTGTCTATAAGACCAATATTTATATCTGCTATTCCAAACATACTTAGTTGGAAATTCATTATAAGTTATATTTCTAGCATTGATATCAGTTTTATTCATTTCCATCCATTCAGTTAGAGTTGTTTTATGAATATCTGGTTGTTTCATTATATCGATTAGATGTTGGTTTGATCTAAATGTTATGTTTTGCATTTTTGGTAAATGTATTGACAAACGTTGAATGGCTGGGTTTCTATGGTGTATTGGATATTCGTATAAATGCCATAACGCTTCATAGGGTGTTATGTATCTACAATTAATATAGTTTTTTATTTCATCTATTTCTTCATAAGTAATTGCCCCACAATTTTCTGTACAAATATTTTCTTCTATGACTGCTCTTATTCTATCAGGTCCTTTTGTTAAATATTTAAATAAATATTTTATAAGCATTGACTGAGAACAGATTTCTACATTAATGTGAGCGTTATATTTAAGACATAGATCTATATTATGTGGAACAAGATATCTATTATCTAATTTAATACTATCTTTTTCAACGTAGAAATTTGTATCTCTTCTTCTATAATTGACAAATCTATTTTCCTCAATATATGTTTCATTTTTAATTTGATTCGGGAATTTTTTGGAACATTCTGAGTTCTTCATACATTGAGCAGTTGGTTTTGCTATTCCACATGGTCCATGCATCATAAATTCAGCAACAACATTGTATTTTATTTTGTTTTTTTGTGGGTCAGGAATTTCGGCGGAAATAAATTTATCAATTTTTGATGGATCATGTAGTTTATCATTGGTATGTAACCAAAACAGGAAATGACAATGTGGCAAACCCCATTTCTGAAATTCTATTATGTACAGATCTACAAAATTTGAATAGAAAATTTAGTTTAGATATCTTTAGTAGAAGAAATATCTAATATTATATAATGTTTATAGATAATAAAAAAAACACAGATGTCGAAAGAATATACTAACCTGCTACAATTCTTCCGAAAATTTTTTCATTTTTTATTGTTGATAAAAAATGTTATAACTTCATTTTAAAAACTCTTACGATAATATCAGGTCTATCTGCAGAATTAGAACCAGGTATTTTTATTAAAGCTCTAGTAATTTCAGGCCATTTTGGATTACATGTAAATGTTATGAATAAATCAGTTTCCATAATATATGTACAAATAGCCATTGCGTCATGGTAGTTTTGGATCATGTATCTAGGACTTCCGGTATGACTGGAAGGAAGAATAATTCTTTTACCTATTGCTTGTGCATTTGTATCTCCTTTTGTAATAGCATCCTGAATTCTTTGATAAAATTCTGATCTTAAATTTTTTTGATTTTTTTAATGTAATCAAATCTATCTTCCTCTACACAGGCATATGCATCAACTACATATTGTTGTAAACTACATATTGTTGTAATAGTCTTCCACTTCTAAATAGGATATCACTTTGATTTTGATGTTCTAGTAATTGATAACAATAAAATTCTCTCATGGAAATTCTTTTTCTTTTGTATGTGGTATTTGTGTTATTTACATGATATTTTAAATCTGTTCTATAACCATCTTCTCCATAAGGAAACAATAATGGATACTGAAGAGACATATAAGAGGGATGTAACTTTGTGATTCTTTGTAAAGAATTTGTTTTATCTTCAATTATAATGTCTCTTCCTTGTTCGTATTCACCAATATCTCCAACTATTAAGCAACCTATATCGTTTGAAGTCGGTAATTCATATTGATTATTATCTGTATTTCTTCGATTTATAAGTCTTAGTTTCATAGATGGTAATTTATCTTCCTCATATCTATCTCTTATCGATCGAAAAATGTTTACTAAATTATTTGTATTGTCTAACATTGTAATTAAATGTTCAATCCACTCATCTTAAAAATATAAGGGCCGATAGAGTTTTTTGTGAAATTTTCTATATTACACCCAAATGATGTAAATGCAAACATGGAATTATAAATTCTAATATTTTTTCAAAAATGTGTACTCAAGGATCCTCCATAATAATCTAATA